TCCTCCCCCTCTCGACAGGACCTCATTCTATATCACAGTCTGGCTTGGAACTCACTGTGTAACCGAGGTTGGCCTTGAACAAACGGCAGTGCTCCTGCCTCAGCCTCCTGTGCATGGAGCCATTATAACTAGCTTCCACCCCCTCTTTTCAAACAGCCTTTCATACTATCTGAGTATGAACTTGTAGAACATATACCACATGAAAACCTTTGAAGATTTTTCTGTTACTGAACTTTTAGTATAGTTCCTGATAGCATGCTTAGAAGATACCAGTTAGAGGCAATGTTAATACATAATAGTTCCATTACTGGTGCTGCTGAATCTAGTAACCGAAGATTAATTCTATTGAGACTTTTAAAATTACCACTTTATTGCTTCATTGCTGTCATGTCAGAAGTCATTAATTAAATTTGTCTCTTGGGATAATACCCAAATATACTTTGATGGACCAACATAAGAGCATCGCGGGAATGTCTTCATTCTGTTCAGTGCACTGCCCTCTCGTGAGTCACCTCTGCTTGTCTGTGCTTCTTTTCCCATGGGATTCTTCAGAGGGGAGAGAAGATGGCTGCTAAGCAGTATGGATCAGAACCCCCACACAAAGTTCTTGGTTTTGGCATGATGTCTGGGACTAAGGCTAAGCCTCTCTAGAGAAGGCAGCCAGGTCTCTGTTCTGTGACTTTTTTCATCAGAATTCCTAAGAAGTGCTTACTGAGTATCTGTGGGTATGCTTTGAGATGTGAGACTAGGGAACCAGATAGAGAAAGTAGTTATGACTTCATTATAGCTTAATTTTTTATTTTAATTGAAAAAAATTATTATTTTTAAGTGTATGTGTTTGTTGCCTACATGTATGTAAGTACACCATGTGTGTGAAATGCTTACAGAGGCCAGCAAAGGGTGTCAAATCCCCTGGAAATGGAGTTATGGATAGTTTTTAGCTGCCGTGTAGGAGCTGGGAACTGAAGCCAGTGCTCTTAACTGCTGAGCCATCTCTTCAACCCTACAGTTTAAATAGTGAGCTTTTTCATACTGCTATAGTAAAGAGCATCTCTTACTGAAATCAGGTTCTGAAGACCTAAGGCAGTAAGGGGAGTACCACAACTATGGTCAGCATCATCCACAGAAGCCTCAGTCACCAGGAAAGCTCTGTAAACATGGGTTTGCTCCTGTATCCCTGTCAAGTAATTATGCAGATTGCTTGATATTGGCTGCATTAGTACAAAAGAAACTGGACATTCCAACCATTTTACCTTTTAGGTGCTGATCAAAGGCTGAGACTGTAGAACACTTGCCTCACATGCATGAGGCCTTAGGCACATTCCCTAGTATTGAAAAAACAAAATTAGCCACTGACAATATAACAAACAAATAAGAATACAAAGTAATGATTAGTTTTTACTGGCATTTATTGGGATAGATGGAAAATTTTTTGTTGCCTACAGAGTTTACTTATTTTAGTTTCATTATTAAACCTTCAGTCCCATATTTCTGTATTTGTTAACTGTATTAATTGCTTTTCTCATCACTATTACAGACTACCTGATCAAAACAAATTAAGAAAGATTTATTTTGGCTCATGGTTTCAGAGGGTGCAGTCCATCGTGGTGGGAAAGGCATAGTAGTGCTTCTGGTGCTGGGAGCTGTGGCAGATCTGGAAGGAGAGATCATGACAAGGAGCCAGGGATAATATACCTCTAAGATCTTGCTGCCATTGACCTTTCTCCACCTAGATCTTGCCTCCATAAAGTTCTATGGTTTCCAAAATAGCACCTACCAAGTGTTCAAACACATAAGCTTGTGGGATAAAGACATTTCACATGTAAAGTGTAACAGATGGGTTTGCTATTGTGAGGATTAAAGAAGACAGAGGTCTTGGCGTGGTGGCACACAAGCATAATCCCAGCACTTTTGAGGTGAGGCAGGAAGATCATGAATTCCAGGCCATCCTGGGCTACACAGTGAGATCCTCCAACCAAACAACAGTGTAAAGGAGATAGAGTTCTGTCATCTGTAGAGGAAAGTCTGTTTTAAGTAGTGTTGTGAATTAGGTCCCCTCAGTGAACTTAACTGTACTAGGTCACTGAAAGCTATTGGTGGCTCCAGGGGCTGAGAAGGGGCTCAGTGGTTAAGAGCACTGGTTAAGAGTACTAGCGTCAATTCCCCTGGAACTGGAGTTATAGACGGTTGTTACCTGCCAGGTGGGTCCTGAGAATTGAACCCAGGTCCTTTGTAAGAGCAGCCAGTGCTCTTACCTGCAGAGCCATCTCTCTAGCTTCCTTGAATACAAAAAGAAAGCAATTACATTTTTGTTAAGTGCTCAGTTAATAGGCTTTCTTGTTACTCCAGTTATACTAACTGGCTGAATGCTGAAAGATGACTGCTGATAGGAGTAGGATCAGGAGACTCAGCAAGAAACAGCTGTCATCAGCCACACAAGCCTTGCCAGAGTCCTTGTGCTCTCCGTTTTAAAATGTGTGTGCAGTGTATACATGTGTGGGTGTGTGTGCATGAGGAAGGCAGAGGATGACATCAGGCACCTTCCTCTATCACTCTGCCTTATTCCCTTGAGGAAGGGCCTCTCAGTGAACCAGAATCTCACCTTTTCAGCTAGGCTGGCTGGCCAGGGAACTCCCTTAGATCTGCCTGTCTCCACCCTCCAATGCTGGGGTTATAAGCACGTACAGTCATGGCTGGCTTTTTACATGGGTCCTGGGGATTCAAACTTAGGTCCTCATGCTTGCATTAGTTAGTGTTCTTACAAATTTCCTTAGCCCCACTCCTCATTTCATTATTATTTTTTTTGGTATTTTTGAGACAAGGTCTCTTGTAGCCCAAGTTAGCCTTGAACTTTCTGTGCAGTTGAAAATGACCTTAAACTCCTAATCCTTCTGCCTCCACCCCCCACGTGCTGAGATTACAGGACTGCACACCATGTATAGCATTTTCATTTTATTTTGTACTCATTTAAGAACCTACAGTGGTATAAGATGCAGCATGTTAAGACCCTACAATTGTAACAGCGATTAGCTATGGAATCCAAGCGTATTGCCTCTTTATGGCCAGTCCTTGTCTTCTTTATTCTGTGATTCCATTTCATTTATAACCATTGCTGGCCCTTCCAGAAGATGGGTGGAGTAGACAGTTGAACCTACAGTTTGGAGAAGAGGGATTTTCAATGTGGAAACAATAGCTTAGTTGGATTTTAGGATGATTTTGGCAGTAGCTGGCGTGAGAGTGTCAGGACTGTAACTTTATGGCAAGCATTGATTTATTTTTAACTTAACAGACTGTGTGTCTAAACTTACCAGTCTTACAGTAGAGGGGAAGCTCATTATTTGGTGGAATATTTGAAACATTTTAAATATTTGACAGGTAGAAGAGCAGATAGCGTTACATGTTGTGTTTTGCTAGCTTTACTGCCTTAAACCCTAAGTGTTTTATTTTTGAACATTGTGTACAAACATAAGATCTTTCACCTAGGAATGGTACTGTTGTGTTGGCAATTATCCAGGACAGGATATTGGAACACTGGACATGAGAAGCCTTTAATTTTGCATAGTAGATTTTGAGTACTTGCTTAATTTTCATTTTCCCCTCAATGAAAATATCTATGTATTCATGTTCTTCATGAACCCAGGGGCTGGAGAGTAAGGTGAAGAAACACGTGTTGGAGCTGGGTTTAGATAATTGTTTTTCAGACCTCTAAGAGAACTGTAGGTATATTCTATGTGTACAATAAAAACGGCTAAGTCTGTTTTGTGGGGTTCTTTTGGATGTCAACCTTGAGACTGAGCCATTCGTGTTTACTGTCAAAGTTCTGATTCATTGATTTGTGTCGACATTGGTTAACCTAAAATGGTGATACTACTTCAGTTTCCCTCACATACAGACCTATAGGCAAATTCTAGAAGACACATCTAAAAACTAGTTTATGTGACACTAACTCTTAGCATGTTATAAAAACATTAGGGATGGAATCAGAATTCTATTGAAACACATGGTTAAGCTTAAAAGCTTACCTTTGACAGTGTGACAGCCTTGATGCCATGTTTGGTTCCATTCACTGTTGTCTACTGTGTGGTGTTGGCCAGTGACAGAGCCATAAATAAGGCAGTGGCTTGGCTGCTGATGGAACCTGGTCCAGTTTTCTCTACTTTTTGAGCAGAGGATCATTATGTTGTTTCCAGTCTTCCTGTTGCATTCTGGCTGCGTGTCACAAGGCACTGTTGTGACCAATCGGAGGTGCCTGCCATTTTCTAGGCTCTGACTTATAGAAATACCTGAGAATTATTGTTTTGTTTACTGGTGTCAAAAGTATATTACTACATGCTCATAACTTTTCTTCATCATGTTAGACAATACTTACTACAAAGTAAAGCTGGCTTAAAACACCTTTCTTCCAGTAATATGAATTTGTAATTTTTCTCTATTTTGTTCCTTGTGTTTCAGATTAACTTCATCTACCTTGTCAGAAGCACCAAAAAAACCATGTTAACTCTAACTTTGGTGTGTACAATTACATTCCTCCTTGTTTGTAGTGGAAGCTTTTTCCCGTATAGCTCCAATCCTGCTAATCCAAAGCCAAAGAGAGTGTTTCTTCAGGTAAGAACAATTCTTCATGGAGCATTTCAATTCAGGAGATGAAACTTGTCTTGAGTGTTTTGAGCTTAAACTAGTGAACAGGAAACTGATTTTTTGGCCTATTTAGTTTTCTAGATCTGGTTGTGTAAGACAGCAAGGAACAGACTGACCATGAAGGGCATTCTCATTAGCGAGATACCTCCCAGTAGGTGGAACTGAAGAGGAGCTTGTTTTATTACTATTCAAAGTATAAAATTCTGTATGTATCTGCAAATAATGAATTTTTGAAAACACAGATTGTATAAATGTCTGAAGATTGAATAAAAATCTCAAACTATTAACTGGCAAAATAAAATAGAAATTAAAAATTGCTGGTAAAATTGATCTTAAGTAATATTCAGAGTAACATGATGAAAATATAATAACTTTGGGCTGGGTGTGGTGATGCATGCCTTTATTCCCAGCACTTGGGAGGCAGAGGTGGATCTTTGTGAGTACAAGGAGACCCTGTCTCAAAAAGACAACAACAACAGTAATAATAACAATAATAATAGCTTTAGAACAATCTCTTAAGAGTTAGAACTTTGGATCTCAGGGTTTTTCAAACCTTTTAGAGGTAGTGCTGCAGAGCCAGAGCTTCAGTTCCATCCGAGGCAGAGGTTGTGGAGTGGCCACACAGTGCCAACAGAGTCATACTTAGATAATTATTCAAGGACTAGACAAATTAAAAATACTTGAACTTGATTTTGAAAGGGGCCCAAATGTCCTTTGTTTATACTCCTAAAGGATACACTAGTCGATTTTATGTGACAAGGTTTGTAATTTGTAACCTTTAGTGAATGAAGAACATAGTTTTCTAGAGGTTCAATGGGGTTTTCAGTGGCACATTAATTTTTATAACCTTGGCAGTAGTATTTGGGAAAAGCTTTGTTTTTATAAAAGATCCTGCTTTGATTTGTTTTGGGATACTTTTCCCTGTGAAGGGCAGAAGAAACATTTTAGGTCCTGTCATCTGTGTAGTCGCTATCACATTATCTATTTTTATAGAGTGAAAGCAGCAACACTCTATACCTAAGCCTATATGTGTATAAAGTTTTATTGACTCCAGAGACAAAGTCAGTGGTCTGTCAGTGTCACTTTGCCAATTTCTGCTCTGTGTAAGCCTTTTTCCTTTGTTGTTTGACATTCTTCAGGCTGTTTTCTCCTGTTAATACAACTATTTAAAATGAATCATAGCACTGAAGCAGTGTGCTGCCATTCCTGTTTTTCTCTACACATGAATTAGCTTCACGTAATACACCAAATGAGAATGAGTGTGGATGTACTTATGTGCTTAGCATGTATTTGTTTTAAAAAGTTTGGTTTCTTTTTTGTTGTTGTTTGTTTTTGAGACAGGGTCTCCCTGTAGCCCCAGCTGGCCTGGAACTCACTATGTAGACTAGGCTAGCCTCGATCTCATAAAGATTTGCCTACCTCTGCCTCCCTAGTACTGAGATTAAAGGCAGTAATTTTTTTTCCCCCTGCTATAATGCTCGTGCTTTTTGTGAATTCCTGGGCTCACGTGATTCTTCACTTCCTCCTACTGAGTAGTTAGGACTGTAAACATACACTGCTGTCCCTGGCCAATTTTTTATATATAATTTAAATATGCATTCAACTATATTTGTGATATATAATAAAACAACTATTTATATATCCTCATCTAGCTTAAAAGAAAAAAATCCACCACTAATAGTAACTTAATAGTGACCGTCTTCTTTTGGTTCCCCCATTTCTAATCAGTTCTTGGTCAGGTCTTATTCATCTTATTAAACTGGGTGGGAATGTGGGTGTACTTGTTGAAATCTTCTCAGTATTCTTTTCTTTGCAGCATATGAGTAGAACGTTTCATAACTTGGAAGGAAGCATAGTTAAAAGGGACTCTGGAATATGGATCAATGGGTTTGATTACACTGGAATGTCTCATGTAACACCTCATATTCCTGAGATCAATGACACAATCCGAGCTCACTGTGAGGAGAATGCCCCACTCTGTGGTTTTCCATGGTATCTTCCAGTGCACTTTCTGATCAGGTTGGTTCATTACTTTTTGCTTAAATTGGGAGTTTGTTCTCAGATCTTATTACAATATCATTATTCTTTTTAACTGAAACTTAACCTGAATTCACATGTCAAGTGCTGTTTGTAATGTTTTTATGTTACTACAAAACTTTAGACAGGAATTTTCTTTTTCAAGTGTAGAAAATCTTTCTTCAAGAAACCTGAGTAGTTAGAAAGTGTAATCCTCCTAATTTATATACTAAACATAGTAGTTACAGTTGCATCCTGGCCTCTGGGAAGTTCTTAGGTTTAGCACTTCAAGCTTGGATTAGAAGAAATAGTAATTAGAAGAAACAGTCCTTTGTTTGGGAAGATTTTATTATACAGTAACCTGGACTTCAGAGAGCTGGCATCATTTAGTATAGTCATTGGGGTTTTTTTTTTATAGCTGAAGATATCCTTGTGTTCTGAACTCTGCTGTGAGTTATGGATATCAACTAATAAGACATCCTAAATATTTATAAATAGGAAAAATTGGTATCTTCCTGCTCCAGAAATTTCTCCAAGAAATCCTGCTCATTTCAGACTTATATCCAAAGAGTGGACACCGTGGGATTCTGTAAAGTTGACCTTTGAAGCAACAGGTAAGTCTGATGATAGTTTTTTTATTTCTTCAGTTCTTAAGCTTTTTAAAAAAATGTTTATTTTATGTGTGTGAGTGTTTTGCCTGCATGTATGTAAATCTACCTGTGTGTGCAATGCCTGTGGAGGCCAGAAGAGGGCGTCAGATCACCCCCTGGAACTAAAAGTTACCAGCGGTTGTTAGCCACTATGTGGGTGCTGGGAACTGAACCCGTCTTCTGCAAGAATAGCCAGTGCTTTTAACCATCAGGCCATCTCTCCAGTCCCTACTTCTTAAGCTTTTTAATAAGGTATATGTATGTCTTCCTTTCCAGCATATTAAAGTAACTTCAGACGACCTCAAGAGTGTTTTCTTGTTGTTGTTGTTTCTTTGCTTTCCCTTTGAGACAGTCTCACTGTATAGCCTAGGCTAGACTCTTAAGTCATGGTCTTCCTGCCGGAACCATGTACCATCACACAGGGAACCTTATATATGATATTTCTAACAGCAACTAAAACCAAGTTCCTAAAAGAAAATTTAACACATTTTATTATTTAGAACAGTTTTACATTTACAAATAAATTGAGCAAAGGTACAGCCTGATTAATTTTATTAATCGTTAAAAAAAGAACAAAAAAACACTTAGTTGTTGGGGCTAGAGAGATGGCTCAGTAGTTCAGAACACTAGTTGCTTTTGCAGAGGACCCAGGTTTGGTTCCCAGCACTCACATGGTGGCTAACAACTGTCTGTAACCCCAGTTCCAGGGGATCTTATCTCTTCTGACCTCTGTGGGCACTGTATAACACAGGTGCACTTACCGACATGCAAGCAATACACTCATACACATAAAATGAAAATAATGAATAAAAATTTTAAAAAACTAGCTCTTAGTTGATTTTTTTTTGAGTTCTGTTTTTCTTGATTTATGTACTAGCTACTATTTCTTATGTTCTGTTTGCCTTTGATTTAATTTGCCCTGCTTTCTCTAGCCTACTAAAATGGAAGCTTAACTTACTGCTTTTAGGCAATTGCTTTTAATACATGCAGTCAGTGCTATCAATTTCCTTCTGAACATTGCTTGTGCTCCTGTTCAGGGCTCAAGCTTTTTCCACTTACAATTCCTTTTTACCTGAGAAATTCTTATGTAATCCTGTGGATTAAAATAGGTATATAAAAATCAAACATTTTCTGATAATGAATCATAAAGAAAATTTTAAAAATATTTAATTTTTTAATTTTATATGTATGAGTGTATTACCTGCATGTATGTGAGTGACCCTGTGTCATGCAGTGCTGTGGAGGTCAGAAGAGGGCTTCGGATTCACCTGGAACTGGAGTTAAGGACGGTTTGTAGCGGCCATGTGGGTGCTGGGAATTGAACCTGGGTCCTCTGCAAGAGCAGTCAGTGCTCTTAACTGCTGAGCCATCTCTCCAGCCCCCAAGAATTTTATTTTTAAAAAATTCCTTGGTATACATATAATTTTATGAGTTATTAAAGACAAAAGCAAATTAGTATACTAATGTGGTGGATGTGCCTATTTAGTTTGACATAAAAAATTAAGTTCTAGCTAAATATTTGATACTGCAGGATGTAGAGCATCTGATAATGGTGTTTTCCAAAGTTGACTGATACTTTAGTTTTATAATTATCAGTGCTGAGAACACTGCTTCCCATAAATATGTAGTACAAAATGACAGAAGTATGTTTAGGGCCATTTCAGAAATTGTTGGAAATTCTGTCCTAATCTCAACCCAGAATTCAATTAATCTTTTTATAAAACTCATCAGGAATTCAAACAGCAATCTTAACATTAAAGTCTAACATATTCCAGTCCAAAGATATACAAATCTGATACATGCTGAGGAACAATGGTAAGGAATATTAAAAGTGTATGTTTCCCTTAATTAAATCATTATGTTTCTGTAAGAGAAGCAAACTTTGTATGTATAATAAAAAACCCAAAGCTGCAGTGAAGTCATGTGATGCATCATAGAATACCTTGGATTCGTTACATGTTTGATTTTGCAATTTTGGTTGTTCTGTGTTCAAAAACCTTTTACTGTTGCCAATATTTTTGACCCACTCCCACCCCCCCACACACATTATTTTACAACCTGTAGTGAGTTGTGGCACAGTTTAAGAAGCTGGGTCTAGATTCCCCCAAATTTTAAGTTATATTTTAGTGTTAAATTAGTTAAAACCATCTAAAAATTCTTTTCTTGGCAGCTGTTACTTTGCTGTGCTGGGGATTGAACCCAAAACTTCACCTGTGCCAGGCAAATGCTCTAACACTGAGCTTTATCCCAGCCCTTGAGATTTATTGACCCACTTGTTATTTAGAAGTATGTTCTTTAGTTTCCAGATAATTTAGGATTTTCAAGCTATTTTTCTAACACCAATTCCTTGTTTAATCTCAATTTAACCTGAGAAATCATGATTTCTGACCTAAATTTGTTGGATGTGCTGTATGGTGAGGACCTGGTTCCTTGTGAACTGTGAATGTGTGTGTTGCTACTGTTGGATGAATTCTATGATTGTCACTTAGGCCCTTGAAGTCAACGGATGATTGACCTTATGTATTGCCTTTTCATCAGTGAGATTTTTCCTTGTTTTGAAGTCTGAATGGTCTAGCTCTCCAAAGATTTCTTTTAGTTACTGTTAACATTGTATATCTTTCTCTCTCCATTTATATTTATTTCCTTATTTTTATGCTTGAGATTGAACCCTGATCCTTATGCATACTAGACAAATGCTCTACCATTGAGCTTCATCCCCAGCACCTTCCATTTACTTTTAATCTATATATATTCATTAAGGAGGATTTCTTGTGGACAGTACATAGTTGGGTCTTGCTTCATGACCCACTCTAAAAATCTGTTAGTGTATTTAGACCATTGACATTCACAGTAATTATCAACATGTGTTAATATTTTCTGTATTTTTCTTGTCTTCCACTCTTTTTCTGCTTTAGTTTTTTAACTGCTTCTATCCTTTTTTTTTTTTTTTGTAAATTTTTAATTGAATTTTTGTGTATTTCATACCAAACATCTTAATCATTATTATACCCCCTTCCCCACTGGCACCTTCCCATAGGCCCCCCACCATTGGAATTTATGCATTGTCATTTGTGTTAAGGTCTGTTGAGTCGTTAGTGTCCCCAGACATTCCTCAGTGCAAGTTCATCCACTGAGGTCTAGTCAGCCTATCTAGAGTCCCTCCCTTTAAGATCAGCTCTTCCTCACCCAGTAGTAATCAGCTGCCTTATATAGCTTTAACTGAGAAAGAAAATGATTCCATTTTCTTACCTTTTTTTTTAGTATAAATTATGGTTTTCTTTTATTAAGATTTATTTTTGTTTATGTATGTGTATATCTCTCTGAGTGTATGCTGTGTGTGTGGGTGCCCATGGTGGCTACACAAGGGTGCTGGATCCCCTGGAACTATGGGTGGTTGTGAGCTAAGCAATATGGGCGTTGGAAACTGAACTTGAGCCCTCTGGAAGAGCAGTGAGTGCTCTTAACCACTGAGCTGTCTCTCCAGCCATGTTAAAAGTTTTTTTTTAGTTTTTGCAATGTACATCTACAGCTAATCCAAGCTTCCTTTCAAGTAACACTGTACTCCTTCATGGATAGTGTGCTTTTTATTTGAGACAGGTCTTGCTCTGAAGCCCAGGCTTGCCTCAGCTTGTGATTCTCCTTCCTCTGCCTTACCAATGTTGGAATTATAGATGTATTTTATATTAAAATAATAATTCTTGGGGCTGGAGAGATGGCCCAGTGGTTAAGAACATTGGTTGTTCTTGCAGAAGACCGGGTCTAAATCCCAGCACCCACATGGCAGCTAACAACTGTCCATAATTCCAGTTCCAGGGGATCCGACAGCCTCTTCTGTCCTCCGTGGGCATTGCATGACACGGGTGCACTTACCTACATGCAGACAATATACACATACACAAATAAAAATAATAAATTATTTTTTAAAAACATAAAAAAATAATAATTCCCTGTGTCATTATTTTGTCATCCAAACATAAGCTAAATTTAAGCATACTTTGATAAATACATGGTTCATGTTAGGATTTTTGTTGTTGAGACAGGGTCTCACTATACAGCTCTGGTTGGTTTGGAACTCACTATGTAGACTAGGCTTGCCTCAAACTCACAGACATCCTCCTGCCTCTGCCTCTTGAGAGTTGGGATTAAAGGTATGTCCCTACCCATATTTATGATTTTGAAAAGGGAAATTTGTTAGTTTTTAGGCCAATTAAAATAAGAAAAAAATGTATTTAGTGTCACTTATTCTTATGAGCTTCCTTTTTATTTTTTACATATGTATGTATGTGTGTATGCGCATTTGTGTGTAACCCCAAGGCTGACACTGAGTTTTCCTTGATTGCTTCACCTTAATTTATTAGGGCAGGGTCTCCACTGAACCCAAAGCTTGGTATGGGCTAGTGTTACTAGCCAACTTGCACTGGGGAATCCTGTCAGAAATTACCTGTCATTTATGTGGGTTCTGGGGATTTCAACTCCCAAGTCTATGTGGTTTTGCAGCAAGTGCTTTATCCATTGAGTTCTTTTCTTTCTTCACTTAAAAAAATATATTTTATGTGTATGAGTGCATTGCTTGCATGTATGTAAGTACACCCATATTGTGTGAGACCCGTGGAGGTCAGAAGGCATTGGATCCCTTAGAACTGGAGTTACAGACAGTTGTTAGCTGCCATGTGGATGCTGGAATTCAAACTCCAGTCCACTGCAAGAGCAGCCAGTGCTCTTAACCCCTAAGCCATCTCTCTAGCCCCTAGTTCTTCTTAATGTAGGTTGGAGTTACCTATGTTATACCTGCCTTCTCAAGTTCTAATTAAACATCTTGTATGCTCTATTTGTTTCACTTTCTATTAATTATACTTTTGAGACAGAGTTATCACGTATCCCTTTGTGGCCTGAAATTCACTATGTAACCAAGGCTGACCTTTAACTTCTGATCATCCTGCATCTACCTCCCAAGTGCAGGAATTCTAGGAATGTGCCACAATACCTGGTTTATGTGGTGCTGAGGATTGAAGTGAGGGCTTTGTTTATGCCAGGCAAGTATTCTACCAACTAAACTACATTCCCAGCCCAGATACATGTATTTTAATGGTTGCTGTGGACTTGCATGTGGTCAGCTTCTCAGTTCACCCCTCTTTGGGAGTACATAAAGTTGGTCTCCAAAGCATACTACACTTTTTCTTTGTTCCTTAAACTTTTTTTTTGTCTTTTTGAGACAGGGTCTCCCTGTAGCCCCAGCTGTCCTGGAACTCACTATGTAGACCAGGCTGGCCTTGAATTCACAAAGATCCACCTGCCTCTGCCTCCCAAGTGCTGGGATCAAAGGCGTGCACCACCACACCCAGCTACTTAAACTTTTTAATAAGTTGCGTACAGTTTCCCTCCTCTAGGTTAAATGATTACCAGCTTAAAAGCTTATATTTCCTTTAGGTTTTTTACTTTAAATTAAAAAAAGGCTGCCTTTAAACTCATGATTTTCCTGCCTCGGCCTCCTGAGGCATTAATGGACGTGTACTGGCTCAGGCTCTGACTTTTATGGAGCCTTATTGAAAGTCTTTTGTGTTAGATACAGGTTCATTGTTAAATAGATCCACAGTAGCATTTGACCTGCCATTGGTAGATGGACTTTAGCTTTCTTGGTGCATTCTGTTCCCTTTTCCATGTTTAAAACTAGTAGTTAGCCCTTCCAGATTTCCAACTGGCATTCTGCCTGTAAGGCCTGTAAGTGTCCCTAGGATTTCCTTCACAGTGTTAACCTGTTTATCTTGTACTAGATTTGACTATGTCCCTTCCTGACTTTAAAACAACTTAATGAAGGTCTGTTGCTTGCAGAATGGTTTCAGATTCAGCATTTTAGGTCTTTGGCGTGAGAACTCTTAGGCATTCCAGACTTTTCTCAGCCCTCCTCTTGTTGCACCTTCAGTCAGTGACATGCTCTTGGTCTGAACAACTGCCCTGACTATATTTTCTTCTGTGTGCCAGGCACTTGGAATACGCACTCTCACACTCAAGGCACGTTGAATTACTAAACCTGGCAGTTTTGTCATTAGCAACCGACCTGGGCATTTTTGTCAGTAGGGTACGAGATCTTTGAGAAAAGACTTTCAAGATACAGGAAATGTTCTCATCCTCCGCAGCTATTAAGAGTTTATATGCCAAATAGGTCCAACTAGGGTGTTGTTGTTTTGTTTTGTTTTGTTTTTAAATAAGTACATTAGGATCGATTATTTCTCTTTCTAATGACTTGTCCTTTGTGGAAATGTGGAGGTTAACTTTTATGTGCCCATTTGACTAGGATGTAGTACATTGATACTCAGTTAAAACAGTATACTAGATTTTTCTGTGATAACATGTTAATTAGTGATATGAGTTGATTGCCCTTATCCAATCTTGAGAGTCTTAAGGAACTCACTGTAGGCAGACTGTCTTTCAGCTACTCCTGTAACCTTTTTTTTTGGGGGGGGTAACTCAGAGATTGGGTGAATTCAATCGGCACTCTACATGGGCTTTCTCACTTAGAGTCTGCCTTTTCTCTTGTCTCATTACTTAACCGTGTTGTTACATGAAGAATGCCCAAACTAGTAAACTAGTAAATGGTGAGTCCATTTAAAGTCATACCACACAGGAAGCTTCATGGGTATCATTTGGGTGGTTCAGTTTATTGCTTTTCTTGTCATTACTGATTGACTTAGATATTCTTTGTCCCTCTTATCTTACAGGACCAAGCCATATGTCTTTCTATGTTCGAGCCCACAAAGGGTCAACACTTTCTCAGTGGTCTCTTGGCAATGGCACCCCAGTCACAAGCAAAGGAGGGGATTACTTTGTGTTTTACTCCCATGGGCTCCAGGCCTCTGCATGGCAGTTCTGGATAGAAGTGCAGGTGGGAATTTCCCAGGCTCCCAGGTGGTATTTAACAAGAACCTTGGACTTCAGTGTTCTGGCTTTCGAGAACTAACTGATTTTCTCTACCAGGTCTCAGAAGAACAGCCTGAAGGAATGGTCACTGTGGCCATTGCTGCCCACTATCTATCTGGGGAAGACAAGAGATCCTCTCAGCTAGATGCTCTGAAGGAGAAATTTCCAGATTGGACATTTCCCTCTGCGTGGGTGTGCACCTACAGTCTCTTTGTGTTTTAAGCTTGTGGATGAGGTTGGAGTAGATGCTCAGTGGATATTCTGTAAGTGTAAGTGACAGCTGCTCTCCTGTGTTACATGGGTGTTTGTAACACAAATCAGTGAACTTTAATGAGGGTATGCTGAAAGAGCTTTTTGGGTTAACACTTCAGAGCCAACCACTGTATGGTTTAAACATTGGGATACTGACCTTTCTATCACTTGAAAACTCCAGTTTTCTGGCACTTAAGCACATGTGGTGGGTACTGCTACTTAAACATGTCATTTTATATGACTATGAGGAAGAGGCAGCATACCACTGACATCCTTTGAGAATTAAGAAAGATGTAGACCGTCAGATCACTGTTAATGAAATAGGTAAGCTCATTTGTTCTGTCAGTGGATGAGGGGTAAAATACCATTCACTGGGGTACAGTTCTCCTTGAGCTATAACTGCAGGTCATTAAAAAGTGACTGCCGTAGAGCTGTGGAAGCAGTGCTACACCTTCAGGGCTCTGAGAGGCAGCCTTGTGTTCTGTTCTGAAAGCCTAGACCATGGTGCAGCGCCCTGGGCTGACTCCCCATTGCTGAAGCTACTTCTATGCTGCTTTCCTGGTATTCAATGTCTGTTTCCTTCTAACACATGCTCCCTGTCACTAACCTGTGGAGGGGCACATTTCTGCAGCTACATTTCCCTCTCAGTTTTCATTTTCATGGGCTGTTTTATTTGGGTAAGCACAGGACCTGAACTTCCTTCCCCAGAGCACTGAGTGGCCAGCATGGCTATTCTGAGGTGGAAGAGCAAGGTGGGAGGAGAGTCAGGAGTGTTAGGCATTTTATAATTATTTATTCTTTTTATATTTTAATAGGAATCTTCTGTTACACAAAGTTAATCCTTTAGGACATAATTTTGTTGATGCACTGGGTTTTGTTTTCTAGCCAGCTGAATAATTTCTTAGTATGTCAGTGAGACTGGCTTTCCTGACACTTAAGTTTGTGACTTATACAGGAATGAGACCACTGTACCTTTATCTCTGTGAGTGTCCAGATCCTACATAATGGCAGCGCTTGGCCTTAAAGGTGTTTTTCATTCTGAAGATGTAGATGTAGCTGTGAGGTCTGTGATAGATTGTAGTGCCTCTTGTGGCTTCTGTAGATTCCAGAGGTGACAGGGTTGATAAGGTTGATGAGTGACAAATTATGCTAGGGTTTCATGTAAAATGTCAGACAAAATTTGAGTTAGCAAACATGGGCCAAAACACAGTTGAAAGAAAAGCCATAGTAAAGAAAAAACAAAACAATAACTTCTCAGGTCTTGTGGGAGCAAGAGGAGTTTTTCTCAAAGAAAGCGACCCTCAGACTGAACAACAAGAGCATAGTGTGCACTGCAGGGGAAAACTTTCTTAAAACTGCTGGTGTTACATGTATGATGTGTTTAAGTTTCTTAATCATGTTCCTTATATCGCCTGCCTACTCTACATGGACCAACTGGGCCCATGCAGACATCAGGGCTGTGGCCAGAGCTGAATGGTAACATGCTGGTTATCATATTTATCAACACTGCACATTGGAGTCTCTGCTTTTACTGGACTTGTAGAAATAGTGTCTTGTCAGTGCTTCAAGTGTCTGGCTCCTGCTGCATACATATCTGTCAGGTAGTACATAAAGGTTTTCAGGGTTTATGTATAGCCTGTACAGAATTATGTCTGTGGAAAATAAGTAACAGTAGTAATAGCTCAATGAATTTCAAAATATATGCCTATATTCTGTTCCTGGGGTTTCTCTGACTCCCCCACGCCCTTGGGAAGGATGCTGTTTCTCCTGTTCAACATAATCATGGTTTCCTTTTTCCTTTGGGTTATTTCTCTATGCAAATGATTTTGATTTTCTTTAGCATTATGAAGCTTTGATATTGTTCATTCAGTAATAAGAGGCTCACTAAGTTCATGGCATGCTTAATATTCTGGGGGAAGTTGTTTTAAGGCTAGAAATGGTCAAATAATTATATCAGTATTCATGACTTTGCTAACAAGCACACTCTTTCCTTATCAGTACCTCCAAGATTAAACTTAAGTGCCCTCTTTTGAAAGATTATCTGATCATTTGAGTAATTTACTTCTAAAAGGATCTTTTCAAGCTCCAACAGATGCATTTTCCCCATAGTGAATGTAAATATTAGTAGCACAGTACTGCACATTCAGGGAGAAGTATAAACAATTGTGATTTCAGAGTCCTTCTGTTATTTGGTCTAAGAATGATCGTTGCGGGGCTGCTGGAGAGATGGCTCAGCGGTTAAGAGCACTGAGTGCTCTTAAAGAGGACCTGGGTTCAATTTCCAGCACCCACATGGCGGCTAGAAACTGTCCTTAACTTCAGTTCCAGGGGAATCTGAAGCCCTCTTCTGACCTCTGAGGCATTGCAGGACACGAGTGCACTCACACAAATGCAGGCAATACACTCCTACACATAAAAATAATAAAATATTAAAAAAAAAAGATCATTGCAAGAAGTGTTCCCACAGTCCAGCTATCTTAAACAAGGTTGATTCTCCCAGGTATAGCAATGCAGGGGCCATAGCCAGCCTGCTAACTCAGGAAGCTGCTGAGGAAATGTGTCCACCTTTTCACTGGTTTGCTGATTTGTTGAAGATTGATTGTTGCCTTACAATGTTACTGAATTAAACTTTTTAACATACCGGTTGGAAAATGGATCTTTTTAAACTGCTTTTATTCTGTCTCCTTATTTCAAGTTTATTTCCTACCCCCAGTCTATTTATAACTGCTATTTTAATAAGTGATATGAGCAAAGACCTCAACATGGAGACACTCACTTCACTTGGAATCTTTTACCTGGAATGAATTGGTGCATCCGAATTCCACAGAAATTAAAATGACCTATTTGGTAAATAGTGAACTTGAGAATATTTAGGAGATTTAAATCATCTCACTGGGAGGAGAAAAACCACAAAAGGGCTAGTAAAGATTTTTTTTTTTCCCCTAATTGGGGGCTCGGGATACTAAGTGCCTTGCAGCCAATGACCATATGTTACTCTGATTTCCACTTAAGAGAAGGGCAGCACCAGAACACAGCTCACATTCTGTGCTTCAGACATTTCTCCAAGCTTTTGTTTTCTGGGTAATTCCTTCCAGTCAGTTCAAAACTAAGGTGAAACTCTTCATGTACCTCTCCTCCTTTTAGGGCCAAGAAAGCCATAAGGCACTTATGCTTCATTGGTTTTTAATTTTTGACATGTTTTCAAAAGGAACCAGGGAGGTAAAGAATCTGAGAACAGTAGGAGACAGGTGTGTTACTATGGGAGAAATGGATAAAAATGGGGCTATTTAAATGGGAGGGGAGAAGGAGGGTTATACAAGGAACCTTGGGGATAAAGGGAAAGGAGCTCAAGAGAGGTGGTGGGACCACAGGAGACTGGTATTATCAAGGGAGAAATGGGGAAAATGGGGACACTTTATATAGGGAAGCCATGGCAGAAGGGTTAGGGAGAGAGAGGGGAGATAATAATGCCTAGCTAGTTTTTAAAAACAAAAAACAGAGGAAATCATAATACTCCAACAACCTAATGACAAATTACACATACAGTTTCTCTACATGAGTCCATGTGTATAGCTAAAAGCCACATAACAAGAAACAGTGCCAGACAGGAGATACCTTTCTTTGAGTTGACCAGGGTGGTCCAAGAGACTCCCCAAATTACAGAGGCTATTGGCACAGCCCTTGATGCCCTCCCAGAACTTGAAGGTAAGATCCTACTGCTGAAGACAGGACATAAATTCGGGCACAGGATTTGGAGCAAGACAGCTGCAACGGATTTGCAACCCCTTCCCCTGAAAGCTAGTTCTCATAGCTTTGGAGTGTGCTCTGAAGGGAAGTATCAATCAATGATCCAACACCAGCTTCAAGACCAAATTACATCAATGGCCAGCACAGCATAGGACATTGGTGCAGTAACAGCCCACTCAATGGGAGCAAACTACATGGCTAGAGTGGTCATAGATCAGAGAAAACCCCAAGAGTGTCATACCCCTAGACTAATGTAATTTCTTACTATGTGTAAAGTATGTATCCTTGTAGTTACAAATATCCCGATCCCCACTCAACAAAGCAGCTTATTTTGCACTGCTTGGAGGCTATTACCAAGTACCACACAACTGATCGTATGCAGATATTGTCTTTGAGTTGCCTAGGCCTAAGGGACACATCTACAATGTAACCTCTACACCTAAGTCTCATGGAACATAGAACAGGGGTAAGAGAAGAGGACACTAATGAATCTTTCAATTCTCATTAATGAAGCTCCTTCATTCAACAGAGGGACAGGAACATAAAAGGTCACAAATGGCCAAATAAGAGTCTGCAGAATGCTGGTCCGTGGACTTCTATATTAAATTTCACCCACCCACGGCTCAGGGACCATTGTGGAAGAGGGAGCAGAAAGGTTTTAAGAGCTAGGGAGGAGGTGCATGATCATATGGAATTAGTCCTACAAGCTCCTGGGACCCTGCTCATATGATTCTATGGCAGTGTGTCACCATACACAAGTCCCATGCAAACACAGACAGCATAAAACTCAGGAAATGAACAGTATGCCCCAATCTCAGCTGAAGAAACACTGGCAACTGATTACTGCTAGGCAAGGAAGAACTGATCTTCCTAAAACAAGGATGACTAGGCCTCAGTGGATGGACGTGTACTGGGGAATGTCTGAGGACATTGACTTGACACAGTGGGCCGTTAACACGGATGACAGTTATGGCTCCAGTGGGGATGGCGGTATAAAGATGATTAAGATTGTTTGAGATATTCTGTATGAAATACACAAAAATTCAATAAAAACAATTTTTTTAAAAAAGTGTATTTAAATAATAATAAAAAAAAACTCATTGGTAATTTATCCGTCCACGTCTTGACCAAGCAGGATCAGTGAAATGGACCACACAATAGAATAAGGGCAATCTGACTACCTAAGTTGGTGCAAAACGTTGGGGAGATAAAGCAGAAGTAAGACCCTCTCAACTAAGGAATTCCTTCAACCTGGTAAAGGTTATGGCCAACACCCCAAGTCTGTCACACAATGTGGAAGACTGAACGCTCTCCCCTAACTAAGATCAGGAAGAAACAAGCTGTCTGTTATTGCCACTCCTACTGAACACCATTCTGAGGGCTCCAGCCAGGGAAATTTAGCAAGACAAGACATCCAGATTTGAAAGACAGAGTTAAAGCTATGTCTGGTCCTTAAAAATCCAAGAAAGAGTCTTATAGTTATTAGGTGAGTTCAACAGTGTTGTATGATCTATTATCAATACACAATATCAAGTCTATTTGTATACATAAATAAATCCAAATGCAAAAATTAAGAATTCCATTTATAAGACTATCAAGAAGAATGAAACAGGAAAAAAAACACAAAATCTTTACTCTGAAAAACTATAAAATATTGCTGAAAGAAATTAAAGACCTGAACAAAAGATTTATTCATGGATTGGAAAGCATGATATTTTAAAAAGGACAGTATTCTTCAAACTGAATACAATCCCTATCCAAGTCTCTGTGTGTGTACCCATACACCTTTGCTTATGAACGCATGCACCAAAAAGATCTTAAAATTCATATGGAACTGGGGCTGGAGAGATGGCTCAGCGGTTAAGAACACTGACTGTTCTTGCAGAAGACTGAGGTTTGATTCCCTGCTGGGGTTCGATTCCCTGCACCCGCATGGCAGCTAACAACTGTCTGTAACTCCAGTTCCAGGGGATCCAACAGCCTCTTCTGTCCTCCGTGGTCACTGCACTACATGGGTGCACTTACCTCCATGCAGGCATAACACTCATACACATAAAAAAAAAAATTCATATGAACTGCAAGAGACCAGGATAATCAAAACAGTCATGAAAGAAATGTAGGGTTCACACTTTCAAATTGCCTCTAAAGCAAGAATAGTCAAGACAGTATGCCACTGCCATAGAGAAACATAGATCACTGTAACTGATGGAGCACTAGTCCAGAAATGAACCCATAATTTACAATTTGGCACTTCATAAGGGAAAACCTCTTCAATAAATTGTGCTCAGACAATTGAGTATCCATATCCAAAAGAGTTTAGAGTCCTACTTAATATATGCAAAAATTAACTCAAAATGTATCAAAGGTCTAAATATATGAGCTAAAACAATAAAGCATAAGCACAGATATTCATAACCTTGGGTTAAGCAATGGTTTCCTAGCTGAGAGACAAAAGCACAAGAAACCAAGGAAAAAATAAATTGGACACCCATTAAAAATGAAAACCTATATTTCAAAAGATAGTATCAAGGAATGGAAATTGGAAAGAATGAGAAAACTTGCAAATTATGTACCTAGATAAGGCCAAGTACCCAAAGTATCTAAAATAACTGGTGAACTAAGGAACCAGCTTGGCTTCAAAGACACAAGTTACAATGATGTGATCATTTCATGCAAATCTTGGAAGGTTTTGGTATCAGAAACCATTCATTCATTGACAGATAGTGGACATTGGTACAGGCACTCTGGAATATAGCTTGGCATTTCCTCAAAAAGAGAAAAAAAATATGTATATTCCAGTAATTCTATTCCTAGAGAGAACTGAAAATATGTCCATATAAAAAGGTCTAATAGTATGTCCATCCCCTTCCTTATCCAGGGAATATGGTCCATGATCCTCAGTGGGCTCATAAACCATGGATGTGAATAGTATATTATGCTTTTCTCCCCCTATACATATATATCCATGATAAAGCTTAATTTATAAATTAGGCACAGTAAGAAATAGGTATAATGGCCTTTATGTTCCTGGGCTGGACAGACTCTGGTGCCCTGATGCCAGCACCTTTCCTGGAACCCAGGAGCCCTCTGGGCCTGGTCCCACCCTCACCTCCTGCGCCCTGCTGACAACACCTTTCCTGGGTAAGTCCAGAGGTGCCCACCGCACCTTGACTCCCCCAGCTCTTTCACCTTCCCAGCTTCCCCTGCCGCGTCTCTCCTCCTAGCCTGGATACCGGCCCATTTCTTCTCCTGGCACCCCAGACACCAGGGGTAATCGCTCGGAACAGAGCCACCACTGCTTATGAGTTTCCATTCCCACCAGCAGTGAAAGAGCATTCCCCTTTCTCCACATCCTCTCCAGCATTTGGAGTCTTTCATTCTCATGATCTTTGCCATTCTGACTGTAAGATGGAATCTTATAATGATTTTTATCTGCATTTTTCTAATTACTAAGGATGTTGAGCACTTTTTAAGGTACTTCTTAACCATTTTTATTTCTTCATTTGAGAACTCCATTTAGGTCTATTGCCCACCTTTTTATTGGGTCTTTTCTTATTTCTTTCTTTTTTGAGTAATTTGTATATTCTGGATATTAATCCTCTGTCAAATATGTAGCTGGTGAAGACTTTTTCCCATTCAGTGTGTTTCCTCGTTCCTGCCTTGGTTGTTTCTTTTGCTGTACAAAAACTTTGTAATTTAATGAGGTCCCACTTACTGATTGCTGACTTTAGTGCCTGAGCAACTGGTGTCCTGTTTAGAAAGTCCTTTCCCACCTCTGGGCTGCACAGCCTCCAGGCATCCTGGTACTAGGAACTTTCCTGGTCCCCAGGAGCCCACTGGACGTGGTCCCTTCCTCACCTCCCTTTGCTTCCTGGACTGCACAGCCTCCAGTGTCCTGGTGCCAGGA